GGTGGTGGTACCTTGCGAAGGGCCGATTCCCTGCTGCGAAAAATCAGGGGTGTGCGTGGTCCCAACCTCGGACCGGTCGGGAGTCTGCGTCTCCCCGTGCTTCGGGATGAAAACGGGGACCTGCGGCCAACCGTCCGGCCGTTGCGGCAAAGAGGAGCCAGCCTGCGACATCGAGATCCCTCCCAATTGCCCGGAATCTGGAATCTGCGTATCTCCGTGCCCCGATGGCTCGGTCTGCGTGGCTCCTTGCACCAAGCCCGGTTTACCTCCTTCGAGGGCGAAGAAACTTCCCTTCCCTCAGATACCTTTCCCCTACGACGACCCCACTCCACCTTGCTCTCAAAGTAGGAACTCCTTCGAGCCTATTCACAAGCCTCGCACTAATTTGAGCGGGCAGTTAGCGCGGCTCACTTGCAAAACCGGGAGAACCGGCCAGAACGTTCCCACCATCCAATTGTACAAGCCCGAAGCTCAACAATGCGAAAAAGCTCGAAGCTGCAGCGAGACAAAGAGCTATTGCTGTAAAAGCTATTGTTCCTCCACCGAAACCCGTTGCCAATCGAACGGTCAATGTTCGACCACCACCAGTAATCAATGTGAGACCCAAAATTACTGTCAGGACGGTATCCATTGTGAACCCTCTAGTAATACCCAAAGTTTAGTAGACCCACCAAATTTGTCATCCCACCCGGATCTAGGTACCGGAGTCGGTGGTCTCGGTGGTGCCGGGTCGAAGAGCGGAACTTTCGCTGGTAGCAGCGCGCCAAAGCGAGGAAGGGGGATCCTAAACCAAGCAACTGGACCGGGATCACGATTGCCCCTCTGCGCCCATTGCAACTCTTACGTCAGGTACTCCCCCTGTTTGCTGTTAGGTGTGCCGATTGTTGTGTTTTTTTTTTTTTTTCAATGTTTGTCGCATTCTCCTTTTCTTATCTTTATTTCCGTCCTCCATCAACGAACGACGATGATTTTTGAATAGCCTTTTTTTTTTTTTACCTCGTTCGTTCCATCAACGTACGCTTGGGAACGGATTCTCTGTCTGTCTCTCTCTCTTTCTCTCTCTTTCTCTTTCTTTCTTTCTCACCGACGATTGTGGTGTTTTTAAACTATATTTTTTTGTCGAATAGAATATTTTTTTGGGTTAATTTACAAATTTTTCTTTGTAAATGATCAAAAACTCGATCCCATTTCTTTTTTTTTTTTTTAGGACACATTGCTAGAGTTAGAAAACGCAGCAACGATTTTGTAATCTCTTTCTCTTGTTTTTTGTACAGAATATATATATATATTTTTTTTGCTGTCTTTTTTGAAATTGCTTGTTATTATTGTAAATATCAAAAAAAAAATCCGTAGATGTAAATTGAGAGCACAACTATTTTTGATCAACTATTTTTTTTTTTTTTTATTCGATTTTTGAATAGCTTTAATTCGTTAAAACCTTGTTTTGATGTGATTAACAATGTTAACTTGTTTGCACGATGTTAACAGCTAATGAAGAAAATACTAATCACAAGTCGAACGGTCTCGTCATAAAGCCAGTGTGCTGTAAAAACGACAAAGAGTGTATAAGGTTCGTAAAAATGATCGATTTATGGGCAATTATCGTTTTGATTTGTTGTGTTTTGCTTCCTCGCGTTAAAGCATTACGTTTAAAAAGAAAAAAAGAAAAAAAAAAATCTGGATAATATGTAATCGTTCCAATCGTTCAGGGGACCATTCATCACGGCTCTGGGACAGATTTGGTGCCCCGATCACTTTGTCTGCGTGAATACGCAATGTCGTCGACCATTACAAGATATAGGATTCGTAGAAGAGAAGGGACAACTCTACTGCGAATATTGTTTCGAACGTTTCATCGCGCCAAGCTGCAACAAATGCAACAACAAAATCAAAGGCGTAAGTTTTTTTCATTTCTTAAGATAATATTATCATTAGAAAAAAAAACTTGAACTAAACTTATACCGATTGATCGATATGTTTCGATCGATTTTAGGATTGTCTAAACGCAATTGGAAAGCATTTCCACCCTGAATGCTTCAAATGTTCCTATTGCGGCAAACTCTTTGGTAACAGCCCGTTCTTCCTCGAAGAAGGATTGCCCTACTGTGAAGCAGGTTGAATTCAATAATTCAATAATTAGATCGAAAACAAAAAAAAAAAAGAACAAAAAAGAACAAAAAAGAACAAAAAAGAAACTTGAAACTTGAAATATATAAAAAAATAAGATTTTTCTATTCTTTAACTGGTTATTATTATTATTATTATTATTATTACCTTTCAGATTGGAACGAATTATTCACGACAAAATGTTTCGCGTGTGGATTCCCAGTCGAAGCTGGAGATCGCTGGGTGGAGGCCCTGAACAATAATTACCACAGCCAGTGTTTCAACTGCACGGTACGCAATTAGTGCGAGAAATGCTTCTCGAAATAAACCGATCGATCTCTAGATCGTAGAGAAAGTCAAAGAAACGTATTTTAATCGTTCGTTTCGGGGCGGTTGTTGTTATGTTACAGATGTGCAAGAAGAATCTCGAAGGCCAAAGTTTTTACGCGAAGGGTGGTCGTCCATTCTGCAAAAACCATGCACGTTAATGCACGATTCTTTATGAATATATTAACGCAAGAAAAGAAAAGAAAAGGGAAATAGAGGAGGAGAGGGAAGGGGAGGCTATTTGAAGGAAGAATTGGAAAGTGGAAAAAAAAAAAGAAAAGAAAAAAAAAAATTACAGAGGAAATCGCGTTATCTTAGCTTTATAATGAGCACGAATTTTTGTCTGCATAAATTATATTTTATCGAGATTATTATTATTTTTTTTTTTTTGTTCTTCTTATAATTGTTTTCGGTCGACGACAATTAACACGATCGTAAAAAAGAAAAAAAAAGAAAAAAAGGAAAAAAAAAACGAATCGGTGTTAAAAACAACTTTTAACGCCAAATAATTATAGGACGATTTACGAGTATATAAATATTTATTTACGAATACGAATACGTTAATTAAATGCGAACTAATTGCACATCGATTATAATTATAATTCCCTTGATTACTTAAAAACCTTCCTCTGCTTAAAAGCAGGATACCTTCAAGTCGGCAAAGTCGATCGAAAATAAAAACGAAATACAAAAAAAAGAGAAAAAAAAAGAGAGAGAGAGAGAGAGAAATGTCCTTCATATATCAAAGATCGTTGTTCCAAATATAATCACGTTTCTCGAATTTTCGTGATCGTGCTCGCTTACGATAATACTATACTTACTAAGCGCCCACGTAACCTTCTAAGCAATTGTACTCGGCACAAACTACTCAACTAGGTAGTTGGTAGTTCGAAATGACAATTATCGCGTCGACGATTATCCGTTATATAGTCGCGACTCAATATCAAGAACAGAAGAAGCTAATTAACCGGCTTTGCAGGCTGCTTTACAATTGATTCGAACGAAAGAAAATAGAACGAAATACCTTTGGATTGGAAGCAGGGATTTACACAGTCGCATAATAATAATAATCGCTAGTTTCCTTCGATTTTCGAGATTAAAATTTCCCTTGAACGAAAAGGTTAGTGAGAGAAGAACTTCTCGAGAGGCTATTAAGTTGGCAAAAGTTCCTCGCGTTTCGCTACCTCGACATTCCACGACTAATTGGTGGATTAAGCAGCCATAAAATATCGATGAGACGCAAACTCCTTCTGCTTACGGTTCCGCTTTTAATGTACGCGACACAAGTGATCACGTTTCCCTTGGCGGACGGGTCTCGAATACCTCGTAAAATTGTTGCCGCAGAAAATTCTGCAACGATACAATAAACGCGCCGACTTGGTCTCCTGCTCGAATCACGCAAAGGTCATCCAAGCAATTAGTATTACTGGCATTATCACATATTTCGCATTACCAAAGTGCACCCAACATGAAAATGTTTCGGCTTGTTTCCTTGGAAAGATTCGGGAGAGGATTTGGGTGTTGATAAAGAAAAAAGTCTTAAACGACGGAAAAGCTTCTCTACGAGCAAAGCTTCTCTATGATCAAAATTTAAAATCTCATTTTCGTACGAGTTTGAATTTCCTTGATTTCAAAAAAAGCTTCCTCGTAACTGTAAGACGCGCCAATTAATTATTTCTTAATGAATTGAATTTCAAATTCGTGATTATGATTGAAAAACGGCGATGAATACCTACATTGTGCGCGCGTTGATTGTCAATTGTTGACGAGTTTGACAGAGATAATCTTGTTATCTTTCTCGGATCTGAAAATAGAACTCGTTAGTTAGAATGTTCATACATAGAAATTTTACTTATAAATCATGCAAAATTATACATTACCCTGAAATCAGGCGATTGAAGACGAGCTAAATAACAGGCTTGACTATTATTTCCAATCATTCTGTTGGCTAATCATTTTACCAAGAACATTTTTAATTTTGGCATGACCAAAACTGGAAATCTGGAAATTCTTCTAGCTAAAATTGTACGTAGAAGAGAACAACGCACGTTTTTACACACACGAATCCGTTTAAAATCCGCTTAGCTTTCAGGGTGCATAAAGAAAATAAAATTTGATGATAAAAATTGACAAATCGAGAATTCGAATACTTGATAGCAATTGCCATGTAATTATAGAAAAGGTTACCGATTTCTGTGCCATTATTACAGACTCATGTCATGTAGTAGCTATGAAGAAACAAATTAGCAAAGCTAGTTTAAAAACTGGAGGACGTATTTAAGCGTATATTGTATAATTTAGTAAGTAAGAAACACGCGGCGTTCATAGAATAACTCGCGTTAAAACGTTCGTACAAGAGATGCATAAGAAGTCGATTCGATTGAAGGAAGAAGAATAATCCTTTCTACGATCTGAAATCATCCCAACTCGATATGGCCGATGTGTGTCGCGATAGATCGATCCAGTACTATGAAGGATGCAACTTATCATTAGGATTAATAATATTAATTAGATCGACTACTGGCTGAATATCGCAACGAGCTTCTGTATCCGTGTTACGTGTTGCTTACAATAAATTAAAATGTTCGTGTAAATTATTGTCTATAAATTTTACTTCTCGATATCTATCTCCCTATATATATAATGCCAAGTAAAAATGCAAATCATTGAGAAAAAAAAAAAAAAAAAAAA